TTTGTGATCCTATTTTCCCATAGTTTCTTTTGTATTCTTCTTTTCCTGTATCTGGTCTGTGCACTCTTTTGTCTTGATTGACCCCATTATCTCCTCTGTCTGAGAGCTGTATTTTTCTTACTCTGTGATGACCACTGTTAGGACTGTTCTCACCATAGCGATTGGAGGTCTTGTATTCTATTACTTCATTATAATGCACGACATGAAGAACAGCCTCATCTATTGTCTGTGGATCTTTGTTCAACTCTACATATATGCGTGCTTGATTATCTGTAAGACCAGCTAGAAAATGAGAAACTAGATCTTCCTGCCTAGTCTCTGCATCTCTTGTAGGATGTGCTTTGTCATATAATCTCTTGAGTTCTGCTGCGAATTCTTCTGGAGATTCGTATTTCAGTTGTTTCCTATAGTTGAATTTTGTTCTATAACTTTTGCAAGATTCTATCTCTCCAAAGCGACTCTTTAATTCTTTAATTAACTGTTTATAATTCTTAAGAGTTGTCGCCTTCAGTTGACCATAAGTAAAATCTGCTGCAAGTCCTTGAATTCTGGGTAAAATCTGACGTAGTCTTTCTTCATCATTCCATCCACTTAGTTCAGCTACAGCTTCAAATCGTGTGTGCCATACTGCCCAGTTTTCCTTGCCTGTATAAACTGGTAGCTTAGAGGACTCTTTAGCTTTAGGTTTAAACAACTTGTTTGTAGATACTGTAGATACATCAGAGTTGTGATCATCCATTGACTCATCTTCTGACCCACTTGTTTCTCTTTGAACAACGCTTCTGTGATGCCTTCTATGCTTCTTTTTGTAAGACTTTGACGGGGTTATTTCCCTTGTTGTGACTCCTGTGGTATTTGTTGCAAACATCTGCTGGCTGTTTGATCCATGATCACTGTATGCAGGACTTTTTAGTTGTTCTCTGTTGATGACTTGGGCCATATTTGTTTTGTTAGACTGGTTACCATGGTGATTAGTTGAGCTCTCTGGGCGACCTATCAAACTTTCTCCTCCTCCCTCTGTTTGATGTGTCATAGTTTTGACTGCTGCATCCAAAACAGACTGCATGGATTTTACAGTTGATGTCATAGTAGTCATAAAAGACTTCATAGTGTCCACGAGATCAATCTGACCTCTACTGGGCAGAATACAGGGCTCACCCATAGTACTCTGACCAACGTTCTGTTCATCAAGGAGAGGATCCACGGTGCAGGTATCTATACCATGTAACTGGTTCACCATTTGATGCATGACCGGATTTCCAGTCATATTGCATCTTGGACTATTTCTGTGGATTGGGGAGTTCCTGTTTGATGGATTAATTGTGGGCATTCTATTTTGACGTATTGTAGGAGGAGTTATCTTCCCTTTGTCATCTTCATCAGTGCTCTCATCTGTAGCATGCACTTCAATCACTTCAAGAGTATTAACCTCAGATGTGTGTACATGTACCGGTAACTTTGATGCATCCTCATTCATAGTTTGACATTTGTTTTCATTATCATACTCTACATTCAGAGTTTTTACACTTTCATCATCTGTACTGCTAGCTGAAGCATCATTCTTAGCTCTGCCCCTAGTGTACATTTTCTGTGGATGACCTTAAAATAATCAAGGTCTTTTATGAGGTTCGTATCACTGGACCTGTCGTTGGAAAAACAGATCCCACTTCTGACACCAAAGTATTGAGCTTTAAATGTGGACTGTCATAACTTTTGTTTACTCAAGTTGTGGTCGTGGCTGATGTTTAAAAAAATGTTATACCATGTCAGGAGTGCAACAGAAAAAATGTAGTGTTGCCAAAAAAACATCAATTGTAAAATTCTCATAGAAAATTAAGACAAAAAAGAATTTTGGAAGTGTAAAATAATAACTGATATACATTTTAAAACTTAAAAATGTTATATAAATCACAAGCAGCATTAATGAGAGTCAAGTATATGTGCATACCCAAAAATGTCAGGAGTGCAACATTTGATGTTTTGCTCCCAAGCATGAAAAAACTATTATCATTACATGATTTTCTGATTTTTATTTTGGAAAATAAAGACACTAAGAACATTTTTACCAAATAAATTTATCAATTACAGGATCTGTCTGTGCTTCAGATCCATATTTCTATGGTCAGGAGTGCAACACATTTTTTTAAAGATTCAAGTTGTGTGAAGAAAAGACTTCTATTCATGCTTAGAAGTATTCATTAATTAATAATGATCTTTTTGTATAATTTAATGCTAAATTATTGACAGTTTTATTATTAAAATCCTTCCTTTTTCAATTTTATCAATTCAGATGTGTTTTTATCTTTTTTGTGATTTTTTTAATGAACGTTAAAAATAAACACACTAAAACATTGTCATTAAATTCAAGTAATTCCTCCTCAACTTCACTGAAACAACAGAACAAGTTCTTATGTAATTTTCACTTCACAATTCTACTTTAAAGGCACCAATGCTTTTGGTCAGGAGTGCAACAAATATGTTAGAATTATAAATCATCCAATAAGAATAAAAATAAAGAAAAAATGATGAGTAGAATTTTTCTGGTGGGTTACTGTGTTTGTCTTCTAAAGGAAAATATGCTTTAAAATATATTTTATCTTCTAAATATACATTTAAGCTAGTTTTTTTGGCATAAAATAGGGTATAATTCCAGATAAAATGTGAATTTTAAATACTTTCATCTGTTTAATTATGAAGTATTGGACTATAAGTATTGCGCAATTTCATTACCACTTGATGTTGCCAACACTTCATGAATTTTTGTGTTCTATGGTTTTAATTTTAAACTTTACTGCAGTCAGGAGTGCAACAAAACTGGTTCATAATTACCGATGCTTTTTAACTATCTTTACTAAAAAATAAGTTGAAAAAAATGCTTGATACTATTTGATGTTCAAAACACTATGTCTATCAACAAATTACAGAAAATTTACAGTCAATTCAGGGAATATTTTTCATCATTTCACATATATTTTAAATACAATTTATATATATTACACTTTGCAAATAATCATGTTTTAAGGTCTTCAAAATATGAAAAACCTGCTGTAAACGATGAAAAATATCAAAACGACAAATTCATTTACAAAGTAAGAATGGGTTATTGTGTGTTATAATTTTTAAAACAATGTTAAATAAAATACATATCAGATGTCAGGAGTGCAACACAATAATGTAACATAGGGTCACTTCAAAATCTAGTATTTTTTGTAAGAGAACTCGTATATAACAATTCTTTTTTGGCCTAGATTTAAAGAATTGACTTGAACGGACAAAAAAGTGAACTTTGGGGAATTTTATTGCTTCATATTTTTTTCATATTAAAACTTTTCAAACCATAATTGAAAAAATAATGTAAAATAACAATCAAAAAGCCAATTTTTTGTCACATGTACAAGAGAAGATACTCATTCAAGGTATAGATTTAATCATTTATACCCCTTTTACCATTTTGAAGCATAAAAATCTATAATTTCTTGTGATTATGTATTTTAGAAAGTCTTTCAAGGTGTAATGATGTTTTCTTTTTTCAAAAGAAATTTTGCTAATAAAAGTTCTGAAACTTTTTAATCCGATTGTCTATTCCATTGCTACTTCAGGATTTTAAACTAGAATGCATTTGCAATATGATGATATAAGTGAAAAATATGTTATAAGTAGTTGAATTTTGCCAAAAAAATTCAGTTTGGTGGTCATTTTTTTTTAATTCACCCATTTCTATTAAAAAAATCATTTCAGGGATTGACTTTCATATAAACTTTTTGCCACAATATTGTTGATATGATTTAAGCATTTAAATAAAAGAGGTGAAATCCTACTCTGAGAAAGAAAGAGGGGGAAATTTGGCTATGGTGTGAGATTTCCCCTTGGGGGGAAATCCTACTTTAGAGTACAGATTCCAGGGGAGAAAACTGGCTATGGGGGAAATCCTATTCAAAAAACACTGGTAATCATGCCTTTGCTGTTCTTGAGAAGAAGATTTTTAAAATATTTTTTGTATGTATTCCCATGTAAGACATTGATCATCCATCATGGCCCCACCTAACCCTGGTTCAGACGAGCTTAAAAAAGCTTTTCTCTAAAACATGTACAGTTGTTATTGTAAAACCTACACAGGAAATTGACATGCTGGTGCCTCAGAATGGATATAATTTGAAACACAGCTAATGGAAATTTGTTTTTTAAGAAACTGCATTACATGCATATTTATAAGTTTAATTTCATAAAAATTTGCATAATAAAACTTAACATAAGTGGTATCAAAGTATGTGTTCATTTTTTTAATAACTTTATTTCTTTGATAGTTTCTGACAAATCTAATGGTATCATATATGATGGAACTCCCTGCTCTTCCTTTTTTTTCATTTGAAATAAAAAAGATTATTATACCTCTACTCTATATAAAATTAATACATAAAACTGTCTATTTCCCCGAAGAAGATACTATTTCCCCAATTTGAGGACTACTCCCTGAAAAATGAGAGCTACTCCCTCATGAATATTTATTATTAATTTTAACCAATTAAAATGAACAGTGGGCGGAGCGTTCAAGGAATCTCGAGTCTGTGACATAATGTTATTAGCAATGTAACTATGACGTCAAAACTTTTCGACATGCGATATAAAAATCATACTGGAATTTCTAAGCAAAAAGAGGACAACGATAATCCTTCAAAATGTCAGTGAAATTATTATTTTTTTAAAATAATTTTTTCCGCATTGATGCATAATATATTTAACAAAATTGGAATCACATGCATTTTGGATTATTTATATAAATGCCTCTATATTGTTTTAAAAATGTCTAAGTTTCTAGTTAATAAATCTCCTTTGTTTGTTACGGTATAATAAAACAGTTATGGAATGGGTACTCGGGCAATATCAAATTTATGGTTTCCTCCCTTGGGGAACCATAAATTTGCTATTTCCAGAGTACCCATTCCATAACTGTATACTGTATCCAGTAATGATGCTCTTAATATCCCTGAATAATCCCTTACCTCTTGGCTAGAAGCTTTAATTTGTATGTTACTGTTGGCAATGTTGTCTTTTTCACAAGCTTGGACAGATGACTGGGTTTGATAGGTATCCTGAGTCTTATGTTGTAAACTATCACCCTTACATTCAATCATCTCCATCTCTACATTTGTGTCACCTAATTCCACTGAATCATCTGTGCTTTTATCATTGTTGAGTTTGTCCTGATTTTCTTGTAATTTCTTTTGTATATCCTTTTAAATGAATTTAGCAAAATATTACAGTACCTACAAGTACTAGTACTGTATTGTAAAAAAACCCCCAAATTTTTATATTTTTTTTCACCAAAATTTGTCATTGAAAGATGTCTTACTTTTTTCAACTGACCAAATGATTACTTGATACAATTAACAAAATGATTTTACTGTATTTCACGACAAAACTGTCACTGTAGACCAACGTTTGTGTAGCTGTAGGAATGTTCTTAATATGGAATATTCTTTAAGTCTTAGTTCATTTATTAGGCATCGAATAGGACTGAACCAACCCTCTGAATCTTACTATTTACCTTTAAATCTGTTACGAGTCTCTTTAAACTGTTGATAAATTCTTCTGTACACACATCTACATTGTGCTCCAATGAATCTCTAGGTAAAACGTCTAATAAATTGAAATCATTGTACAATACCTATGAAGAAAAAAAGTTCTTTTAGTGCATTCATATTATACATACATATACATGACAGAAAACACGTGTTCTTCTTCGTCTCATTCATAGTTTTATATATAATATTTTTCCAAAAAAAAAAAATTCAGAAGAAAAGTGCAACTGTCTTGAACAATTTTAAGACACATACTTTCAAAAATTCAGTAAATAACTTCATCAAACGATTCATATCTTCTTCTTGCAGCTCCATCTTTGGAAAATGGCTAACTTGATCATAAAACAAATTCTCACGAAAAAATTAAACGTTTTCTTGCGTTTTCCTCATATATAAAACTTAATTAAAATATTAAAATTAAATATATGTACAAATAAAATTAAGTCAATTAACATTTTGGGGGAAATCTATCCCCTATAAAAGGTGAAGTCTGGTACGAATTCGATATAGTTTAAGCTAGCATTACCCAAATGCACAAAAAATGGTGACGTTTTTTTCATAACACCAAGAGCGGGGATATTAGATTTCATTTTTTCTTCAAGAAAACGTCAAATGACGCAAGAGGGCTTCACAATTGGACTCATACGAGTTGGTGATAATGTTAAAAAGTATAAGCTGATTGATTTTTGTGGAAAAGATGAGGTATTAGAAGTAGCATTTCTGCTGCAGCAAACTGTTTTCATTTAATAATACCAGAGATAACGTGTTTCGAATTTCCTCGAAGAAAAAAATCCCTTATCTTAGAAAGATATAAATACACATTACTAATGCGTATTTTGATATTAATAGCAAAATTTATACTGTGTTTTGAGTAGATTATATTCCTTTTGAGGGATTTTACTGTTTTGTAACCTCAGCGAGATTCGTTGAGACTAAAAATTTTGTACTAAGACGTCAGGCGTCAGTACAAATTTTTTAGTCTCGACGAACCTCGCTGTGATTAACTGTTTTGTCTTTTGGGAAAAAAACATCATTAAATCTCTGAAGTCTGAAATAAGTTAGCTGTTTGTCTATACCTTCAGATCTTTTGTTTACATATTTAACATTTTTTTTAAAGATAACAGTAGGAAGATCACAGGATGCCACAGTTTGCTTCTTGTCCCCGATGATCTCAAGATGCCATGCTGTGTTTAAAAAAGAAGGAGATACTTGGAGCATCAAAGATAACAAGGCAAGGTCGTAATTTGACTGTGTAACAGAGTGTCTCACTAAATTCACATTAATATGCCCATATGTGCTCCTACATGTAACATAGCTCCATTTCTTATACAAGGCTTAAGGTGGAACGTACATAATCTAGACAGTGACACAAATATAGAAATATATGTATTAGTATCTTTTATTACCAATTAAGGACCCTCATGGGGCAGCATGAGTGTGAAATACATATAGAGAGAGGCACAATGTTGATTATGACAGAGGAATATACCAGGGGCTATCAAAAAGTTTGTGGACAGAGGTGATAAAATCAATGCTAAGTTGAAAATTTTTGCGTGTTAATTATGTTGATAATTTGCCAATTTATCATTAAATACAAAAGACATTATTATATGGTCTCTCGGGGCTGTTGTCATTGAGTTGAATGAATTCAACAACATCGTTGCTTCTCAATACACTTCTCTTGCCTCAATTCACTTTTCCTAATGAAAAACCATAGTGTTGAATACTGACTGAAACCCATCTTGTTTACATGACTTTAAAATTTCATGAATAGGTAATCTCAAAACACAAAATTGTAAATGATTACAAAACACAAAATAGTATTAAAATGGATTGTTACAAAAGATAAAGATCATCACTTGACTTTGGCTTTGACTTGAATTTAATTTTATGGTGCCAGTCCATGAATGTTTTGAAAATCCCTCATATAGTTAAATAAAACATAAAATATTTCATAGTGCAATATACATATACTGGGCTTAGTTGAAAATGTTGTTCAAAATATATTTTCCAGGGGCATTTCAAATAAATGTATTATCAGAACATAATACATGTATAAATATCATTTTTTTTGTTTATTAAGTGTAGAAAAATTGCGTATACTTTCTTCTAAATTAAAAAATAAAAGGTTTTCTGTCATTAACAAAATTATCACATGCAGTCAAAAAATAGATCTCATCTCATATTTCACCAGAATTGCATTTATACAGAATTTCATTTTTACAGATTATCATTTCTACATGTTCTAGGAATGCTAGAATATCTACCAACTTCAATCATCAATTTATGAGCTGATATGCATAAATTGCAATTTGCTAATAAATCTCTTAAAATCATAATTCTTTAAAACTTCATCTGTTATTGTAGAGTCTTAATGGAGTATTCATAAATGGAAAGCAACTAGAACCACACAAGCCCTATACTTTACAAGAGGATGACAAAGTTCAGTTTGGAGTCCCAAAGGATGGTGAGAAGGCTGCCGAATTTATCTTCAAGTTTCACTACAAGATTAGAGTTAAACGAGTAAGACCAAAGAGTTCTGATGAACCAGACTGCTCTAACAACAATCAGATTAATAAAGACCACAATCCACTAAAACGAGTAAAGCTGAACTCTGTTGAAAATGAATTGGATGACAAACCTTCATGCTCTAAGCAAAATATTCAGAAAAAGCAGCTACCATTTGATGATTATAAGGAGAAGCTAACGAAGCAAAAGCAAGAAGCAGATTCAAAGTTAAAAGAATTTGAAACCAAACTTGCAGAGATGCAAAAAATGCTGAAAGAAAAGGAAGAAAAGCATGAAGAGATGAAGAGGCAGCTAGAGGCAGAGAAACAGGAACGAGAAAACCAAACACTACAGATGAAAGAGAGGCTAAAGGAGAAGGAGGATGAGATGGAACACCAGACCAATGAAATGAGAGAAAAATTAAAGGAAAAAGAACAGGAGTTAGCAGCTGAACTACAGAAACGGGAGGTACATGTATAGCATTTACCATTTATATCTCCACAATTGTAAATCTAGAAAACATATAGTCATCTTTAGAATTTTTTTTAAATACAAAAGAAACAATTCATTCTTCATGTTAGTATGGCTAATTGTATATTTAGCCTGGAGGCTAAATTGGTCTTGGTTTGCTGTCATTGAGTCTTGTTGTCTAAGCACAAGGAAGTAACCTTTTTGCTGCTCATTGGACTCTCATTAAAGAGAACTTTTAATTTTCAAAATGGGTCTAGAATTACACTTTCCCGTTGCCAGGGGCAAGTGAAATGTCTTACCCAAACGGGAAAGTAATAAATTTCAGGCTGAGCCATCAAAACCTTTTGAGTTTATTTACTTTATTAAAATAAATCAATAACAATAAACATCCAACTACACTGTTTTAGAATCTGCACAAGTCTGCTACATTTCGTTTATTTAATCTCCAAGACTCATCATTGGAAGTCCAGTAATACTCCATACAGTGTCAATTCTCGGGGACTACTTTCGAATAATGATATGGAGTTGTAGCGTAACGTTATGCTGAGCTGTCTGGAGCTTGAAGTCCAGTTGCTTGTATAATATCAGAACCAATCCGGAAAGATCTCAAAATTACGGAATGGCTTTAAAAACAGAAACAATGATATGAAAACTATGTTTTGTCTTAGTACATATGTAATTAAATCAGTAGATATTTTAACAAAATAACAAACAAGTACATACTAATTGCTTTCAAAGTAGTGTATACATTAAGAACTCACAATAAAAAAAATAATAACAAAATAGAGTTGTTTATATTTTTCTAGATTTAAAAAATGTTTAAGTTTTCAAGTTCTGTTTTGGGTTAATTAATGATATTTTCCGAAATAAATAAATAAGTAAAATTAAACGATTTTCTGATATGTTTTCAGATAAATAAATCAGTAAAACTAGATGGTTTTCTCTCTATTTTTTGGGGTGTGTGTGTGAATTTTGAAACTGGGCAAGTGGATTCCCAGTCGTTACTTGCCCGTGGGCAAGTGGCTTAAAAAAAAATTCCAGACCCTTGCAGAAGCTGGTAGTACACTGAGTATGTCCTACCCTTTAAGTATATATTATTGTATACTGTTTGTTGATAAACAAGAGATGTACATTGGCATTTACATGCATGGAAACAAATTTCAAACCCACTAATGCCAGTAATGGCTTCTGTCATTGTAGGAGGATGAAAGGAAAATGAAGGAGGAATTAGAAAACCAGCTGATGAGCAAAGAGGCTGAGCTTCTTGAGCAGCTTCAGACACAAAAAGAGGGTCTTATTATAGAGAAACAAAGAGTGGAGGAGAATTTACAAAAAGCCATGGAGAAAGCACTAGAAGAGAAAAATAGAGAACTAGAAGAACAACTTCATAAAGAAAAGGAGAGACTTGAGAAGGTACTTTTCAGACAGCATCAGAATTTGTATTATATACTGAGCGAGAACTTGATTTATAAGTTTCCTATCATAGGCTATATCAGAATTTGGACTGCTTATGTTCTGTCTTATTTTCTTAGGTAATTACACAGAAGGAAACGGAACAAAAAATGTTGGAAGCCCAGCTACAGGCCACAAAACAAGAGAATAACCAGCAGTCAGATGCCATACTTCAAGCTCGACAAGACATACTAACCAATTTTTCTGACCTGATGGAGACAGAGCTACAGTGCAGCATCTGTAATGAATTATATATACAGGTACTGTTCCTCAGTTAAACAGTATCAGATACTCATCAAATTTAATACATTAGAGATCATTCATCGGATATATTTGTGGCAGTGAATTTGAAATGCACTTTTTATGAGGACCTCTGAAATTAAGATGTGAGTCTGTCATGCATAAACTTTGGACTTTCTCTTTAGAACCACTGAGTCAATTTCAATGAAATACCGTATAACGGGTATTTTCTGCGGTTGGAAATTTTTGCGATTTAACCCCTAAAAGATAGTAAATTAATTTCTGCGTTTTCAATTTCTGCGGGTGCATTATACCGCAAAAAAATATATACTGGGTATAATCACCAAACTCTAAGAATTATCAGATAGCTGCCATGTTTACGTTTTATAAATTCATTGAGACATATTGATCAAAGGTGCATGAGAACTTGTATTAAGCTATTAAGCTTAATTAAACTACTATCTTTTAGTTAGTCTTTGTAAAATTATGTCGAGTCCCAACTGAAATGAATTATTACAGTATCAGTCCACCCAAGCAACAACGAAAATCTTTATTCTACATTGTAACAAACGTTTTATGCGATCTATTAAAATATTTAAATATATAAATAATTAATGCATCCAAGCCATATTCTAAAAATACACTTACAGGTAATTGCCATCAAAATTAACCTGGTGTTTATATTTTAAGCTCAAACAAACAGTTGCATAATCAAGTAATCTAAAGTTGACCGTATACAATCACAGGTGCCATGTGCAATGAGGCGTAACTAATCCTGTCAGTCGTCTGCATTGAGTGAAATTCACGAGGCAATCAAGCCACATTGTGTATACAAGGAGTAATTATGGTTTCAAGATAAAACACAAGATTGAAAAAAAGTGTTAAAGAAAGAAAGAAAAGCTAATATGTGTTGTTTGCAGCTATCGGAGTTTGGACGAATAATTGTGAAATCTCTTTTAGTCATTTACATGTAGGCCTACATGCTTATCCGTATAAAATAAAGAAATAGGTACAAGAAAAGATGTTTTTGTATAAAATTATTAAATTGACTTTACAGGAACGTTTTGATTCAATATGTTTTTGACAAATTCTTACATCTAAAATCTTCGAATTTCGATGACACCCGAATATTCTCGCTAACGAGGACGTGTCCACTCATGAGTCTGCGGACGCATCGTTTTTAAGAACCTTGCGTCCCAAATAATTTTGCTGCATCCAGTACGCAGATTCTTGCGTTAATGAGAATCCTGTGACATACGCACAACTTATCATACTTGCATGTATAAAATATATATCTGAAGAAATACTGAAAAATATTTTGCGATTGTAATTTTTGCGGATTTGTCCTATCCGCAAAATTCCGCAAAAATTGGACAACCGCAGAAAATACCCGTTATACGGTATGCCATAAAGCATGTATGGATCATGGGAAATTGTATATTGTGTAAAGGAGCATGTCCTTATTTATGAGGAGATAATTTAGCAAAAGTAAAAATGATGGGATTGTTTATTTACCTATTTAGCTCACCCTAGCTGAAAGCTCAAGTGAGCTTTTCTGATCACTCGTTGTCCATCTGTCTGTAAACTTTTCACATTTTCATTGTCTTCTCAAGAACCACCAGGCCAATTTTAACCAAGTTGGTACAAAGCATCCTTAGGTGAAGGGGAGTTAAAATTGTTAAAATGAAGGGCCAAACCCCTTTACAAATGAAGATAATCAAGAAAAGACAAAAATAGAGTGAGGTCATTAAAAAACCTTCTCAAGAACCACTGGGCCAGAAAAGCTGAAACTTATGTGGAAGTTTTCTGAGGTGGAGTAGATTCCTAATTGTTCAAATCATGGCCCTGGGGGTAGGGTGGGGGCACAATATGGAATCAAAATTTTACATTGAAATATATACGAAAAATTTTCAAAAATCTTCTTTTCAAGAACCACTGGACCAGAAAAGCTGAAACTTATGTGGAAGCTTTCTGAGGTGGTTTAGATTCTAAATTGTTCAAATCATGACCCCCAGGGGTAGGGTGGGGGCACAATATGGAATCAAAGTTTTACATTGAAATATATAGGAAAAATCTTTAAAAATCTTCTTTTCAAGAACCACTGGACCAGAAAAGCTGAAACTTATGTGGAAGTTTTATGAGGTAGTGTAGATTCTGAATTGTTCAAATCATTGCCCCCGGGGATAGAGTGGGGCCACGATAAGTATTACAGTAAAACTTGTCTATTCCGGACATGTCCGGTTCCAAAGAAATTAGCCGGATTAGGCAACATTACAGATTAGACAACATTTAAATCAATTGAATTTACTGCAAGGGACATAAAATTTACTCCGTATTAGACAAGATTTCGGTTTACACAACATCTGGATTAGACAAATTTCACTGTACAAGGGGGAAAATCTGGTTAAAAAGCAGCAGGGACAAAGTTACTCAGGTGAGTGTTGTGGCCCATGGGCCTCTTGATTATGAATTATTACAGACTCAGAATTGACCAAATTTCAGTAGAAAATTATTATTCACTGAAAATTCAAGAGTACCGGTATTTAAATCATGGCGACTAGAGTCAGGATGGAGGTACAGAAGGAATCCAAAGTTTTGTTTAGGAAACTATATAAGGAGGAAAAACACATTATTTTTTATCCCCACTATGAATATGGCTGGGCATATAGTGTTCCATCTTCTGTCCTTCCTCCTTCTATCTGTCCATCCATCACAATCTGCAAACAATCTGAATCTGCCAATAGCTAAGGTTCAAAGACACTGTTCAAGATATTTTCCATCAAAATTCATAAACTGATATATATTGGTATGAGCTATTCAACTGCATCATTACTAGCTCACTTGAGCTGAAAGCTCAAGTGAGCTTTTCTGATCACATTTTGTCTGTAGTCCATCTCTCCCTCTGTCTGTCCATCCGTCCGTCTGTTACCTTTTCACATTTTCGACTTCTTCTCCAGAACCTCTGAGTCAATTTCAACCAAACTTGCCACAAAGCATCCTTGGGTGAAGGGAATTCAAGTTTGTTCAAATGAAGGGCCATGCCCTCATTTAAGGGGAGATAATTCAGAAATAGTGGAAATTTGGTAGCATGTTTTAAAAATCTTCTTCTCAAGAACCACAGTGCCAAAATAATTGAAACTTATAGGAAACTTTTTTTACATAGTGTAGATTCAGTTTTATTCAAATTTATTCAAATCATGACCCCTGGGGGTAGGTTGGGGCCACAATGGGGGATCAAAGTTTTACATAGCTATTTGTAAGAAAAAAAATCTTTTAAATTCTTCTTCTCAAGAACAGCAAAGCCAAGATTATTCATATTGATATGGAAGCATCCTCAAGTAGTGTAGATTCAGATTTGTTCAAATGATGACCCCAGGGGTAGGGTGGGGCCACAATGGGAGATCAGTTTTACTTAGGAATATATAGGAAAAAATATTTTAAAATCTTTTTCTTGAAAAACAGCAAAGCCTTATTTTAGTCATATTGATATAGAAGCATTCTCAGGTAGTGTAGATTCAAGTTTTTTCAAATGATGACCCCCAGGGGTAGGTAAGGCCACAAAGGGGAATCAAAGTTTTACATAGGAATATATAGGAAAAAATCTTTAAAAGTCTTTTTCTCAAAAACAGCAAAACCATGTTTAGACATATTGATATGAAAGCATCCTCATGTAGTGTAGAATTAGATTTGTTAAAATCATGACCCCCGGGGTAGGATGGGGCCACAACGGGGGATCAAAATTTTACATAGCCGATAGGAAATATAGGAAAAAATCTTCTTCTCAAGAATAGCAAAGCCATGTTTAGTCATTGATATGGAAGCATCCCCAGGTAGTGTAGATTTAAGTTTGTTCAAATCATGACCCCTGGGGGTAGGAAGGATTTTTTCAAAGGAATAAATAGTAAAAAATCTTTTACAAAAATCTTTAAAAATCTTCTGCTCAAGCCCCCCCTCCTCCCCTTCCCATGTAATCTTTTCAATACTAAACCTATTTGTACTCTTTCCTAGCCAAGGTGCTCAGGTGAGCAATGTGGCCCATGGGCCTCTTGTTTTCTGACCTTCCCTATGACCTTACCTCCTATTCCCTATTCTGCATTTTTATTATGCCCCCATAATCGAAGATTCGGGGCATATAGTTTTTTTCCCTGTCTGTCCGTCTGTCTGTGTGTTTGTCTGCAAAAACTTTAACCTTGCCCATAACTTTGATTGGTTGGAGCTATGGCTTTCATATTTCACATGTGTATTCCTTGTGACAAGACCTTTCTTTTGGTACCATCATATTTGACCTTAAAGTATGACTCACTTTTGCAAAATTTTATGAGACTTTAATCTTGGCATAACTTGCAGCTTGGGCTTTCAAACTTCACAAGTGTATTTCTTGTTAGAAGGCCTTCTTTTATATACCAACATCTTTGACCCTTTGACCTTGACCATGGAGTTTGACCTACTGTTGAAAAAACTTTAACCTTGGCTATAACTTTTGAACAAATTGAGCTAGGTCTTTTATACTTTGCATGTATACTCCTTGTGACAAGACCTTTCTTTGCATACCAACAGCTTTGACCTTTCGACCTTTACCTTGGAGTCTGACTTACTTGAATTTTGAAAACAATTAACCTAACTTTTGAACATTTAGTGCTAGGGTTTTCATACTTCACATATGCATTCCTTGTGAGAAGACCTTCCTTTAGATACCATCAACTTTGACCCTTTGACTTTGACCTTGGAGTTTAATCTACTTTTGAAAAACTTTAACCTTGGCCATAACTTTTGAACAGTTGGTGTTAGGGCTTTCATACTTCACACATGCATTCCTTGTGACAAGACCTTTCTTTAAATATCAACAACTCTGATACTTTGACCTTGACCTTGAAGTTTGACCTACTTTTGAAAAACTTTAACCTTGGGCAATAACTTTTGAACATTTAGTATTAGGGCTTTCATACTTCACACATGCATTCCTTGTGACAAAACCTTCCTTTAAATAACAAGAACTTTGACCCTTGACCTTGACCTTAAAGTTTGACCTACTTTTGAAAAACTTTAACCTTAGGCATAACTTTTGAACAGTTGGTGTTAGGGCTTTCATACTTCACATGTATATTCCTTGTGACAAGACCTTCCTTTGGATACCAACAATTTTGGCATTGACCTTGACCTTGGAGTTTGACCTACTTTTAAAAAATTTTAACATTGGCCATAACATTTGAACGTTCAGTTCTAGGGCTTTCACATTTCACAATCATGTGTATCACTTGTGAAAAGAACATCCCTTGGGTACCATTTGACCTTGCCGTTTTACTTACTTTAAGAAAACTTTAACCTTCGCTATAACTTTTCAACGGTTTGTACTAGGGCTTTCATATTTCACAGGTATATTCCTAGAGACAAGACCTTTCTTTGGGTACCAATATTGTTGATTTCTTGACCTGGAGTTTGACTTGCATTTAAGAAACTTTAACCTTTGCCATAAGCTGCCATGTGGGGGCATAAGTTTTCACAAACAAATCTTGTTTGTCTCAGTCTCAAAGTACCGGTAGCTATTCATGATATTTTATAAAACTTCTTACATTGGTACAATGTCTGAGCAGTTGAACAATGTCATAATTTTTCTGATCTTAAACTTCCCTATGACCTTGAACTTCACTTTTAAGATTTTTTAATAAAACTTCTAGATCCAAGGCTATGGTGATGGAGTAGAGAAGGGAGTCTAATACATAGCAAACATCATTAACAAGATTTGTTAGCTCATCTGAGTGAAATGCTCAAGTGAGCTTTTCTGAATAAAAAGTGTCTGGTGTACATCTGTCTGTTGTTTGTCACCTGTAAACTCTTCACTTTTTCAACTTTTCCAGAATCACTGGACCAATTTCAACCAAATTTACCACAAAGCATCCTTGGGTAAAGCTGATACAAGTTTGTTCAAATGAAGGACGACACTCTCTTTCTAGGGGAGATAATTAAGAAAAAGTTAAATTTAATGGCATCTTTCAGAAATGTTCTCAAAAACCACTATGTCGTCACGATATATTCCAGAGTGCTTGAAATAAAAGATAATACAGAGTCTGACACATCTGTTTCATACGTAGAAAGCTTCATTACCTAGTATAGATTCAATTTTGTTCAAAACACATTAGGATATCAAAGTTTTTCATAGGAATACATATAGGAAAAATCTTCTTCTCAAGAAAAGCAGTGCCATGATTAGTCATATATATATGGAAGCATCTACAAAAAATGCATCGTCACAAGTCATGGGTTTTGTGTCCATTGTATTTCTACAAACCTATGGCTGCCTATTGCATATTAAATAATTTCTCTTGCTCTCATAATTATTACCCTTTGTCCAATGAAAATGATTAATCTATCCTATATTTGGATGTAGAAATAACCACAAGCGCACTTCAACTTTGGTTCAAATTTCCTTGTCAAAACGAGTAATGCTATTCAGCTTACACAAATCTGCATAAAACCACTGTCTTTTTAATGTTAAGCTGTGTAAGTATATAAGAATATATATTTTACTCTCCCCTTTTCTTCAGCATCCATCATATTTTTATCAATAAATCAGCCACGCATAGAGAACGATTTCATAATGGGTGACGCCATTTAAACCTACCAGAAATTGCTACACAGTGATTTTATTGGTCAAGAGTATAATTAAATTTTCAGTGATTCATTCACGAGAACGAGAGAAAGCTCTTAGTTTGCAGAAGGCAGCCACAGGTTTATGGAAATAGAACAGACACAAAACCCGTGGCTTATCTCCATTTCATTAACCACTAAATCATTTGAATTTACTATAATTTTAATAATTTTTGTTTTATAGGCAACATCCTTGAATTGTTCACACTCTTTCTGTGCTCTGTGTATTGCCGAGTGGATGAAAGTGAAAAGAGAATGTCCAATCTGCAGAACACCAGTCACCTCACAAATGAAGTCCATTGCTCTGGATAACTATATTGACACCATGGTAGAGCATCTCAGTGAAGAGCTAAAAACAAGAAGGAAACAGCTTGTCACTTCCAGAAAAGGTAATGCTTGCTTTTACTGCAGTTTTGTCTTAAAGGGCATTTACATGTACTGCACAAGTCAGATAAAAATTAACCCTCTATCAAAAATGCATAGAATGAGCTGAAATATCCCATAATAAAGGTTGGAATAACATGTAAGATTTTTTACCTGTATTGGATCCATCAAATGAAAACACATTTATATGATATATAGAATATTTGTAGAGGAGCAGGAAAATACTGAAAGGCAAAAGCAAGAGCCAGCAAGAACCAATAATAGAACAAATAACAGGGGAGCCAGAGGTGGGCGGGGAAGGAGAAGGGGTCAGGGTAGAGGTGGGAGGGGCCAACGTCAAGCCCAGAACACCGTTGAAAACAGAGCAGGACATCGACCAATCATAATTGAGAGTGATGATGAGACAGATGGAGGACACGTGGAGGTTGGTTTAGTGGAAGAGGAAGTGGTTGGGGAGGAGGTTGAAGCGGAGGAATTAAGTGACAGTGAGAGTGTCAGTAGTAGTGACAGTAATGCCCATTTCTACAGTGACCCCTCCGACAGTGATTCAATAGAGGGAGAGGAAGGGGTTTATTATGGAGGATATGGCCATTGTTATGTTTGTGGTTTGTATACATGAATATTTACATTTCCAATGTCTTTGTCCGAGATAAAATTTCAAATAGTAAAAATACTTTATTTCTACATAAATCTACTGGTTCATTGATAGGCGTGGTGAAAAAAAAAATCACATGCGGGGCGGGACAAATAGAGACAGAAGCGGGGCTTGTAGCACGTGAATTTGCAGAATCAAGAGCATGTAAATATAAGGAATAACTGTCAGATTTTTTGGTTTCATGACGATGATCAATCGATTGGCTTGCGTGATAATTTTATGCATAAACGCCTTCGGCATTTATGCAAATTATCACGCAAGCCAATCGATTGGTCACATCATGAAACCAAAAAATTAGACAGTTATTCCTTAAATAAATTATCTATCACTTCAGAAAAGAATTAGGCAATTTCTCATACAAATACATGAAAATATTTGTGATACCATATGATGACTCTGTTTTTGCCAATTTCCAGTAAGTAAATGGATAAATATTAAGTTTACTATGAAGGAAAAGAAAATCAGGTTTTATACCAGTAAAATCATGATTGTCTATAGAGATTTATCCTGCAGATATGCATGTGCACAAATATGTACATGCAGGGACATAAAATATTTAGCATAGAATAAAATTCAAAGGGGGATAATTTTAAAGGACAGGAAAAGTGAACTTGAATTACTTTTCAAATCTTTGTATTCTCTTTCAGGTCACAGGGGACACTGGGCCAATGGGTGTCCATTTCGGTAGATGGAAATCCCTCAGACGAACAGCCACCCATGTGTTCTTTTACATTTAAGTTTTTCCATTATTATAGCATGGAATATTAACTTTTAAAGTGTTTTACTTTGTCAATTTGAGATTTTACAGTAGTTATGGTTGGGCTGTCATTGATGGATTTTAGTATCCATATATCAATTTAAAATCCTTCAGTATAATATTGATACTGTGAATGAAAACCAATGCATTAAAGTTAGATATTTTCAGGTGATTTGTTAATAATCAGTCACTTTTTGTGTTGCCTGCAGAGCAGAACAACACTTAGGGATCACGCGGCCGAGGTCAGGTCAGGTCAGCGAGTGGGCCAGGTCGAGGGTCCTTATTTCACCATGTTGACCTCATAAGGGGTAATTAATTGTATAATAAAAATACCAGTGTTCAAGTCACATGACCTTGACTTTTGACCTACTTTACAAAAAATACTCTGAATAGTTGATTTCGCATGTGTCGCATGGGTCTTTTGAATTTTGAGAGGTTTTGATAATGAGCATTTATATCATATGTTTATGAGCTCATGAAACTTTTGTTTGAAACTGTTTGCAATACATTAATCACACAAACTGAAATTTAAATACACTTGAACTTCAGTATCTTAAACACTGATATCTCGATTGCCATGGATATGTTGAAGTGATTTGGAAGTCCTAACCCCTTATTCTTTAAGTATTTTACTTTTGATATCTTGAATCCTCAGATATCTCGGAAGTTTTTTCTTGGTCCCATTTGATATAACTAGGTTTGACTGTACTAAGAAATTCATCAGGATTGATATATCAAAAGAATTGTTGTATACTGACAGTATTGCAATTTGAACATCACTCAGCCTTTTCCATTAACCTCATGTCAAGAAAAACATGAAACTGGAAGGGAAAGGCGGAGTGATCACTCGGCTTTTTCTGCGGTGTCGAGAAAAACTCTTGACTTCATGGAAAAAGCTGAGTGATGTTCTGATTGTGACAACTGCTGTAAAGACAGACTGAAATATCTTTTGGAGGATATATGATTGGATTGAACATGTATTAATAAATCATAAATCAGTATTCATATTAGTTTTCAGGGTTTGGGGATCATATTTCTATTTGATTGTCAGATTTTATATGATAAATGCCAATCATCAATGACAGTCCTAGTCATTGGTACTTATTAAACTTGATTGAAATTCTGTTGATTATTTTTTAATTTATCTACATGTTTATGTAACATTCATAAAAAAAACAGTAATTCTTTCAGAGGTATATACTGGTAATAAAAGGGCAGATCTGGGAAGGGGGACCAGACTTTTTAAAAAAAATTTGGGGTAATTTAATTTCTATGTAAAAGTAATGAAAAAATGACCTTGGACCTCCTCCTAGGAAACATGGAACCGTCTTGAAACACTAAGGAGATTCATCAATCTGACTAGGAAATTGACTGAAAATAGTGTCTTCTCTATTATCTATAACAAAAACATGACCCCAATTCGGCCAGTTGATTATGATGTGAGAGGTTCAAATGTCAAAGTCACAAAAGCATATTGTTAATTCTACTATGGTTATTGCAAAGATCAAAGAGATGCTGCGGCAATTATTCTCCAATAAACCACAAACATCATCAACAAATTATCGATAATTTTAAATTGGGTTCCTCTAATTTTGACTGCCTTCACTAGGAAAAGGATAGAGGTATCTTTTGATTGTGACGCAAATTGATGGGAAACATTTACATTGGGTTTGGATTACATTGTACTTTTTCTAAGCCTTGAGATACAAATGAACGAGGAAAGCATTCAATTGTGACGTCTTAAGACACTTATGATGACATCCAAATCTAGCTTCTGCATTTTTCTTCATGCAGGTTTTAATATTTGCCATAGTAGAATAGAAATTATTCCCTCATCATCGGAATTGTTAAAGAATATACCACTCCGTCTCGAGATTTTGTTGGCAAATAAAAACCTCGCCCTTCGGGCTCGGTTTTTCTTTGCCAACAAAATCTCTTGACTATTGGGGTATATTCTCCAACAATTCCTCCTATGTGGGAATTATTTCTTAAATAAATCACAAATGCCATCAACAAATTATTAAATTCAAATTGGTTTCCTCTTATTTTGAGTGTCTTCACTGTAAAAGGATAAGGTAGTATTGATTATGATGCAAATAGGTTTTAAAAAAATTATTTTACCTGTGGATAACATTGCACTTTTTCTAAATTGCTTTAAATGCAAATGAACAAGGAGTAGCATTCAATTTTGACATCATAAAATACTTCTGATGACGACTAAATCTAGCTTCTGCATTTCTCTATGTGGAAGATAACCAAGGAAATATTCGCCGTAGCAGAATAGAAATAATTCCATCAGATTTGTTGGAGAATATACCCCGATGGTCGAGAAAATCTGATGGCAAATAAAACCGAGCCCAAAGGCCCAAAGGGCTCAATTTCTATTTGCCAACATATTCTCCCGACTATCAGGCAATATTCTCCAACAATTCTGACGACAAGGGAATTATTTCTTTAATAATTCATACCTATTTGCACTACAATCTCACCCACTGAAAGTAACCAAATCTCATATTTAATGTCAGAACAGGTTTAGGCATTTCTACTGTAATTTACACGTAGAAAAGTATATATCCCTGCCCAGCATACAGCTTAAAAAAAAACTTTTTAAGAAAGACAAATTTTAACTTCATAAGTTTGTTCCGTCATTATTCTGATTCTACAAACAAGTATTTTGAGTTTATATTAAAATGATGCTGGAGTTCCTCGTTGACATTTATCTTTCCAACAAATTTTTTGAATTCAGATGGGCACTAACTGTGCTCCTTTATTAGCCGATCTGTTTTTAGCTCACCTCAACGAAGTTGGGGGAGCTTATGTAATACCCTCGGCATTGCCATCCCAGGTTAAAGTTTTTAGAGCAGTTTTCTTTTCATGTACTTCTATGCCCTATGTCAATCAGAGATGCATGGAGACTGCTTCTATTGTGTTTCATTGTACCAGTCAAGGTTTCAGATGCTGCAATTTCAGCTAAATAATGACCAGGTTAATGTTTTTGGAGCAGGTTAAAGTTTTTGGAGCAGGTCTCATTTCCAAGTAAATATAGGCCCTATATTGACCAAATTTGGATGATACATCTAAGGATGCACACTACTGAATTTGCTTCGGATGCTGGATCTGACCTTCACTTTCCGGATGAGTGACCTGAGGTTAAAGTTTTTGGAGCAGATCTCATTTCCAAGTAACTATAAGCCCTATATTGACCAAACTTGCATGGATGATACACCTAAGGATGCACACTACTGGACTTGCTTCAGATGTTGGATGTGACCTATATTTTCCGAATGAGTGACCAGGTTAAAGTTTTTGGAGCAGATCTCATTTCCAAGTAACTATAAGCCCTATATTGACCAAACTTGCATGGATGATACACCTAAGGATGCATACCATTGGACTTGCTTCGGATGCTGGACTTGACCTACATTTTCCGGATGAGTGACCAGGTAAAAGATTTTGGAGCAGATCTCATTTCCAAGTAACTATAAGGCCTATCTGAAACCAAACTTGCATGGATGATGCATCAAGGGACAAACACTCTCAAACTTGCTTCATATGCTGGATTTGACTTACATTTTCTGGATGAGTGACTAGTTTTAAGTTTTTAGATAAGTCCATTCCCAAGCAGCAAGCCATATCAGACCAAAATTGCATAAATGCTGCATCTAGGGATGCACACTACTAGATTATTAGTTTAGTGTGGGACTTTGCCTTACTTAAAGACAACATTCGTTGAGGTGAGCTCTGTAATCTCTGATTACCTATGTTTATTTTCATGATGAAGCAGAATTTATTCAAAAACTTCCATATGAGAAGATTGAAGAAAACACTAAATGGTGAGGACTAACTTATAGAGAATATATAGAGAAAAACAAGATGTGTTTGTGAAACACTGATGCCCCCGTATGGCAACTTATAGCATTTTTAAGGTTAAACTTTCTCAAATGCAAATCAAATATGTTGGTACCCAAACTAAGGTCTAGTCTCGAGGAACAAACCTGTCAAATATGAAAGACCTAGCAGCAATCATTGAATAGATTTGGAAAAGGTTAAAGTTTTTTCAAAAGTATGTCAAACATCAAGGTCAAATGGTCAAAATTAATGGTGCCCAAGAAAAGGCCTTCTCCCAAGAAATACACAGGTGAAATATGAAAGCAGATGCACCAATCATTCAAAAGTTATGACCAAGGTTAAAGTTTTCCAAAAGTAGGTCAAACTCCAAGGTCAAGGTTGAAGGGTTAAAGTTGTTGGTATCCAAAGGATCGAAGGTCTTGTCACAAGGATTACACATGTAAAGTATGAAAGCGCTAGCATCAACTGTTCAAAAGCTATGGCCAAGGTTGAAGTTTTCCAAAAATAGGTCAAACTCCAAGGTCAAGGTCAAAGAGTCAAAGTTGTTGGTATCCAAAGAAAGGTCTTGTCACAAGGAATACACATGTAAAGTATGAAAGCCCTAGCACCAATTGTTCAAAAGTTATGGCCAAGGTTAAAGTTTTTCAAAAGTAGTCAAACTCCTAGTAGGTCAAGGTCAAAAGGTAAAAGTTGTTGGTGTCCAAAGGAGGTCTTGTCACAAGGATTACACATGTGAAATATGAAAGCCCTAGCACCAAGGTTAAAGTTTGGTAAAATTTTGCAAAAGTGGGTCAAACTCCAAGGTCAAGGTCAAATATGGTGATACCCAAAGAAAGGTCTTGTCACAAGGAATACACAAGTGAAATATGAAAGCCATAGCTCCAACCAATCAAAAGTTATGGACAAGGTTAAAGTTTTTGCAGACAGACAGACGGACGGGGCAAAAACTATATACCCCCAAATCTTCGAAACGGGGGCATAAAAAAAAAGTGGCATTAAAATGTAACGTATTTATTTGCGATCTTCATACAGTGTATAATGCAAAACGGCGAAAGATAAGCGTTTATTTGCGAAGTTTTGATGTAAAATATATATTTCTTTTACCTATGAAAATGAGCTCAATGGATTATCATACTTTTGTAAGATGTTTTTGTAGTGGCACATATCATGTACAACTTGTTTGCTCGCCTTTGATTCGAATACTTACTGGATATAAAAATTCATCATAGTAAATCTTTTGGAAATGGACGAGGAAAATTGGTGATTGAGGTAATCCGGAGAAATAATCTTTGACCGTAAAGGTTTCATTACTAGGTTAGTTCAACTAGTACCCTTCCCAAACTACCAGTTAAATTTATTGGCTTTGAGAGTTAAATTGATCATGCGAATTCCTCTTATCAACTCTTACCGATTTGTGACACAAACACGCACCGCATTTGCTCGCCAGTTTACCGTTAGTGCCTCGTCCGCAATGCCGATCAAGGTAGGTGATTTGATAAAAGCAAATGAATTGGATAAACTTTTGCTAAGCGTTCATCTTACGACCTTGGATATAAAGTCAAAACATTTGGCTCATGCTTAAGTTTTCTACCAGGAAGTTCGAAAAAAATGTGGACTACCACGTGATAAAACATGTACTACCTTGCACATATGGTGTAACATCAGCAACAATCCTTATAGTGTTCGAGCCTGGCGAATTTTCCCGTGCTGAGTCAATGAGATAAATATGTAACCTAACATGTCTAAAAACAGCTAATGTTTGCAGTAAAAGAGGAAAAAATTACAATTATCCTTTCTATGCTGATTTCAGAAGCAGGAAGTAGAGATCTTTGTAATTCTGAATTCAATTCTTCTGAGAACAGTTTGCTACAGAATTTGATTACTTACCATGCTCAAAGAAATAAGGCCAAACAAAAAAATATGTGTGGTTCCGGTTACACTTCCAAAAAAATTAGGGTAGGTAGGTAGGGAATTTTTTTTTTTTTTTTTTTAACAAAATGATTTTCTTAATTTTTTCTAAATAATATCATCACTGCTTTGCAAATGGCATATAGATGAGGTGTGATAATATACTAGTCAATATTGGTAGGAGACACCTACATGCTAGCTTGCTTTGGATTTAACACTATTAAACACTTGCACTGTGTTTTGCAAGGAGGCTGTCATTGCTGAAACTAAAACTTAAACTGGAGCCATTAATGGAAATTGGGGAAAATTCCGGAAAAAATATGAAAATTGCCCAAAAAAAGTTAAGGGTCGGGGGTATAAAATAGGGAAGGTCGGGTAACCGGAACCACACATTTATTTTATTTGGCCTAAACATGATAAAAAAATCAAAATAGGGTGTTCATAACATCTTGTTTTTTTTAATTCAAAATTTAAAAATCATTGTAAGAGTTTATTCTCTTTATGATGTGATATTTATCACATGCATGATTATTTTCCACAGTATTTACAAATTGAAACAAAGACTCAATTTTTAGCTCTTCTGACATGTCTGACTCTGAGCAAAAGGCTCAAAGAGCTAATGCTGTGCGATGTGCGTAAACTTTTTGGAAAATGGGCCACATCTCAAGAACCCCTTAGTCAATTTTTTTCAAATTTGTCACAGAGTATCCTTGGCCCAAGGGCTTTCATTTATACTAAAACTAGGGATGTGTCCCTTAAACAAGGGGAGATATAAGGAAAATAAAAACAAAAGTAGTGGTTGCTAAAAAATCTTCTTCTCAAGAACCACTCGGCAGATTATCACCAAACTTACTTACAAGGATGAGGATATGTTGTAGATTAAAAATTGTTCAAGGCATCACCCTGGGGTAAAGGGTGTGGTCTCAAGGTCACTTCAAATTTGACCAAAATTTACGTTTTGTTTAATCTTTGATATTTTGCCCACTATAAGGCTTAGGATCATCATATCTTGTCTTTCAGTTGATGCATCTTCAGACCTCATATCATGTTGACTCAAAAGTAGGTCATGGTGACCTACTTTTTGAACTTTGCAGGTATTCATTTAAATTTGATGCATAACATGGATACTTTGAAGACTGTGTCATGGGACCTTGAAGTGTGTCAACCAAAAAGTAGGTCACTGTGACCTTCTTTCTAAATTTTTAGGGCTATTCATTTTCTAAACATTAAAGGTCATTATTTCAGAGACTAAGAGGTTTAGAATCATCAAACCTTGTAAGTTAATGCACCTAGGGGCCTTGAAACAGATTTTTGAAAAAGTAGGTCACTGACCTACTTTTGGAAGTTTACAGGTATTCATTTTCAAATTGTTTTGGAGACATATTTTGGATACTAATTGGCTTAGAATCATCAAACTTTGTCAGTTGATGCATGTTGAGTCCTCGGAGTGTATCGACTGAAAAGAAGGTCACTGTGACCTACTTTTGCAATTTCATGGCTTAATTTGAATATTTCAGATACTAAGTGGGGTGGAATTATCAAATTTTGTCAGTTGATGCATCTTGGGTACTCAGAGTGTGTCAACCAAAAAGTAGGTCACTGTGACCTACTTTTAGACTTTGATTGCTTTTTTTCAGGTACTAATTGGCTTAGAATCATCAAACTTTGTAAGTGGATGCATTTTGGGTCCTGAAAGTATGTCAACCAAAAAGGTTGGTCACTGTGACCTACTTTTTGGAATTTGATGGATATTTCAGATAGTAATTGGCTCAGAATCATCAAACTTTGTTAGTTGTTGCATCTTGGGTCCTCAAAGTGTGTCAATATAAAAGTAGGTCTTAGTGACCTATATTTGGAATTTGATTGCTATTTCAAATACCAATTGGCTTTGAATCATCAAATTTTATCAGTTGATGCCTTTTGGGTCCTCAGAATGTGTTGACTAAAAAGTAGGACCTACTTTTGCAATTTTATGGCTATTTCAGATAGTAATTGGCTTAAAATTATCAAGCTTTGTCACTTGATGCATCTTGGGTCCTCAGAGTTTAGCAACCAAAAAGTAGGTCATGGTGACCAACCTTTGAAACTTCATGGCTAAATTTAAATATTTCAGATACTAATTGGCTTGAAATTATCAAACTTTGTCAGTTGTTGCCATGCTGACCTACTTTTGGAATTTCAAGGTTTTATCCTTATATATATTATAGGTTACCAAGATGCTTAACACAGATGAGATTATAGGTTGTACAACTTTCAGATGAGTGATTCCAGGCCCTAGGGTCACTTGTATTTATTGGGTCACCAACAGTAGATGCATCTTCGCTAGCCAAGGGTTTCTGATACGCTACTATCCTCATAAACCCTTGGCATATGGTGCTGACTAAAGATGGGATTGTTTTTGTCACGTGATCACGCTTCTTACCAGGTACGCACAGATTGCGTCATCGACAGAAATAAAAAGCGTATTTAAAAATATAATGTTTTTAAAGAATAATTAACAAGAAGGTATTGAGTTATGTTAATTTGTTATTTAAACATGTTAAAATGCAAATCTACATCTTCAGTATAGATTCTTAATCACATATTTTGCACGTAGCTTAAGATATTGGATGACACCATATGGCTATTCATAGAATGGCATGTTATCTTACGGATCGTTGTTTACTTGCGTTTTTCATTCCCGATATTAAAGAGTCAAGATATATCCCGAATGCAGATATCGTCATTTACAAAAAAACAATTGCTGATTGGTCGAATGATGTCGATCAACTCCAATCACAGCCTGAGAAAAAAATCCCAACTTTTTTTAACACCGTATGCCAAGGGCTTATGAGGAGAGTAGCGTATCAGAAACCCTTGGCTAGCGAAGATGCTCTAAATTAAGAATATAATGCAACAATATGTACACAATAATTGTTACCGTATTCATCTGTATGAAGAGAAAAACTGAATGATAATAGAAATTAAAAGGTGCACTCTGTGCATATAAAGAAGTTTGATTAAATAAATAAATGATAATTTGCTGTAGGCTGGTGACAAGCTTCCTGCTGTGGATTTGTTTGAAAAGGACCCAGGTGGAAAGGTGAACTCTGGTGAATTATTCGGAAAGGGAAAGCATATTATTTTTGCTGTACCAGGGGCTTTCACACCAGGATGTTCAAAGGTTTGCTGAGTTTCATACTTATTCTTATGAAATGCTAAGTATTAACTTCCGTTGACTTTAATTTTTGTGAATTATGAGTCCATGCATATACTTAATATACTTAAAATTGAGCACATTGTGTTTGCATAACACTTAATGATTTATTCTCATCTGTATTTCTCATTTTGTCTTATCACTGTTAAGTATTTTTTATCAGTTCAAACTAGAGGTGAAATTTTGATACATGATAAGCATGCCATGATAAGAAATGCTTAATATGGTATCATGTAGAACATGTAGATGTGTGGTACTGGCATTTCCATAAAGAATATTTACCTTTACTTTCTGATAAGAAATACTTATGATATAGTTCATGTAGATGTGTGGTATTTCCATAAAGAATATTAATCTTTACTTTCTGATAAGAAATACTTATGATATAATTCGTGTAGGTGTGTGGAATTTCCATACAGAATATTTATCTTTACTTTCTGATGATCACCTTATTGATTAGTTTGTTTTCTGTAATCATATTGATAAATAAATGTCACTTGCCCAAAAAGTGTTAGCATTGCAACCAAAATGCATCAAAGATTATAAAGTACCTATAAATAAAAAGGTTGTTCATAATGTAAGAATTGGTATTGAACTGACCACAGGTTATTTACAAAAGGTCAAAGTGAGAAAAAAAGAAATAAGAGTAGCAGGGGATGCCTCTTGTGAGCTCACATACAGTATCTCTAGTTATGAGTTAAAACCAGTCTTCATGTACAATTTAAAAGTGAAATTTGTACTGGACTTTATGTGTAGTTTGATTTTCAAAGACTTGTAAAAAGTTCTTATACGATTTTAAAGTTTGGTTATTTAAATCCTTAATGTCACTTATATTGAAATATTCAGCTTATTCTTGCTGAAATATTGTAAAGGAATTTTTATCTAAAACATTTCAATTAACAGAACATTCTTTTTACCTAGAAAGTGTAAATGAGAACTTAATCAGTTCATAATTCTGAACAGAATTCATATATTTTATTTTAACCACTGAAGCAGTAAAATTGTTCTTTTCATGAAAACTGTGACTTTTTTTTTACAGAAGAAATACATTATTTTTTATTGATAATAAAGGATAATGTAAACATTCAGTGGGAAATCAGTCTTAAGCAATTAATTTTGTATCATCTGTCCATGTTATGTAATATATGGTACACTCCAACTAAAATGTTCTGACAAAAGCACCTCCAAATTTATAATGTCTCTAAACCATGTTTTTCAATTAATTTAAGCCTTTTGGCTATTAAAAAAAAATAAAATTTCTCAGATTTTACTTGATTTTAAATTCTCTTTGATTGTCTCAACAAAGGGTACACAGAACAAATAATTAGCCTAATATGAAGGGATTTAGCAACAAGTAGTGGCTGTAACATCGTTGGATACCCATGGGGTGATCTTGTCTGATGAGATAATATCATGGGTATCCAACGATGTAGCTGTGATTACCAGTATATAAATATTGCATGTAGGTGAGTGTAACATTGAAAATTTTCACCCCAAGAAAACCATTGTCAACCGAGGTACAGTCTTGGTTGACAATGGTTTTCTTGGGGTGAAAATTTTCAATGTTACACTCAACTACATGCAATATTTATTATATTTTATTATACTTTCATGTTAAATACTAAAATCTGATTGGTTTAGACACATTTAACAATCCGTAATATTACCCTCAGCGTTAGCAACACACTTGACAACGGGTAACATTACGAAAATATCACATGCGTTCAAATCATGCGCGTACGGTTCACCGTAGAATTCTCAAAACGTCGGTTGTGCGTTTGAAAGAAGCCGAATAAACGACGTCAATAAAAGCTTGCGTCCGATGTGGCTTACTTGAAAAAGACAAACGACAGACGAAACATCCTTGCGAGTGCAAACTTTAGGTGATAAAGGACTTTTTGAGTAGCGAACAAATAATAAAGAGGTTGGTAAATCTTTTACGAAGCTTTCCTATTGGGAAAAATAGAAGTGGGGAGTTTGAAAGCTTTCTAAGCGTGAAGTTAACGTCGATCTCCGAATTTTTTAATGACATCCGAAGTCAATAAGACATTCAGTATAATAAAATAAATAGTGCACGTTTTTGAGGGTAACAGTTGAAATTGACACCCCTCGGAAAACCATTGTCAACCTCCGCTGACGCGTCGGTTGACAATGGTTTTCCTTGGGGTGTCAATTTCAACTGTTACCCCCAAAAACGTGCACTATTTATATAATACTGAATGTTTTATACAAATACATATAACAGTGAACCTTATGCGCATAAATTCTGCGCAGTCACTATTTTTTGGAATATCACCTGTCGTCAAGCAATGTTGACTGTTGCTATGCTGGAGGGCATGGCTTCATCATTCAGCGGGTAATAGTGTTTTTTACAAATGTTTCTCGACGAATCAGATTCAACTAATCTACATGAAAGTATAATATTAAGAAATACATATGTGACACCCTCAGCTCTTCAAGAATTTTTATTAAGGTATGCCATCTCTGTTTCACATAGCATTTGAAGATATTACATTAGTTTTATGCCCCCGTAATTGAAGATTCAGGGGCATATAGATTTGGTCTGTCCATCTGTTTGTTAATTTTTTTGTCAGTTTGTCCGCAAAAACTTTAACATTGCATATAACTTTTGAATGGTTGGTGCTAGAGCTTTCATATTTCACAAGTATATTCACTGTGACAAAACCTTTCTTTGGGTGCCAACCTATTTGACCTATTGACCTTGAAGTTTGACCTACTTTTGCAAAATTTTACCAAACTTCAACCTTCACCATATTTTCTGAATGATTGGTGCTAGGGCTTTCATATTTCACTTGTCTATTCCATGTGACAAGACCTTTCTTTGGGTACCAACATTTTTAACCTATTGACCTTCACCTTGGAGTTTTACATACTTTTGAAAAACTCTAACTTTGGCCACAAGTGTTGAACGGTTGCTACTAGGGCTTTCATATACCAAATTTGTATTCCTTATAACAAGGCCTTCCTTTGGGTACCAACATTTCTTCCTCCTGACCTTGACCTTTGAGTTCTACATTTGTAAAAACTCCATCCTTGGTTGTAACTTTTGAACAGTTGGTGCTAGGGCTTTCATATTTCACTAATGTATTCCTTGTGACAAGATTTTTCCTTTGGTACCAGTATTTTTGACCTCAAGACCTTGGCCTTGGAGAATGATTTACTTTTGAAAAAAAAATTAACTTTTGCCATAATTTTCTGAATGATTGGTGCTAGAACTGTCATGTTTCACATGTGTATTCCTTGTGACAAGACCTTTCTTTGGGATACCAACATTTTTGAACTCTTGGGTTTGGAAAACTTTAACCTTGGCCTTGAGCTGCCATATGGGAGCATCGGTGTTTCACAAACACATCTTTTTTTTTTTTTTCTATTTTAGACCCACTTGCCAGGTTATGTTCAGCAGTGTGATGCCTTGAAATCCAAGGGAGTAGACAGCATTGCCTGTATCTCTGTCAATGACCCGTTTGTCATGGATGCTTGGGGTGAGGCACAGGGAGCCAATGGAAAGGTTTGTAACTTGCCCTACCTTTATTTCCTATGGTATTTTTTAGAACCTTTTAAGTGCTTAAACATGTCCTGATGCTCAAGTTTTTTCTTTACAGATCAGAATGTTGGCAGATACTTGTGGAGAGTTCACAAAGGTAAAAAAGCACATTAGTTATCATTTGTTGAATTTTACATATTTTAAAAAAGCATAGACACAGATTTGAAGCTTAAATCCTTCAGAAGTTCTAGATTCACTTTAATCATCATGATCATAAAATGGCCCTGCCCATACACCAATTAACTGACCAAGACCCAATGTCCCATTTCAAACATCAATATAAAGTGGAGACTTAATGCTTTCATTTCCTATTAAAAAAAATTCCTCTGAGAGTCCAGGTATTAAAAAACAGGCTTCATGAAATTGCATTGTTTTTTAATCTAACAGAAATGAGTGTGAGTACCTTCAGCAAAGAATTAAATATGAGCCCACCTCTCGATCTAAAAAATAAAACAGTTATTGGGAGTTGATTTTATCAAATCTTATATATGCACTTCCCCAGACCAAATGATGTTTGGACCTAATCACTTCCCACATCAAATACCATCTGATCAGTATCTTCAAAACTTGTGCTTGATATTCTTTTTCCTGACATCTGATGATCTCTGTGTAGATTATGTGTAATTTTGATTGATTTTCAAACTTTAATTCTGGTGGGGCTTATATTTGTCATTAATGCTTATAATCTTTTACATATGATAGTGTTTTTGATATTATAATATCATTGTAACCTGTGTTAATTTTTGTAGGCTGTTGACATGGAAATTGATCTAGCAGCTGTCCTTGGAAACAAGCGTTCAAAGAGGTAAACAGAAATTAGCCAAACACTAGATTTATAATGCTCAGTATTATATTTTTATGCAAAATGTTAAATTAACAATTTTTTTTGGCCATGCAGAAAGCAGTCCATACATTTCATGCACTAAACTTAAAAATATTAAAATGTCATATCTGTTTCAAACTTTTATTTTTTTAGGTACTCTATGGTAGTAAAAGATGGCGTGGTGGAGTCTGTGAATGTTGAACCAGATGGAACTGGTTTAACCTGCAGTTTGGCAGAGAAGATTCAGGTGTAGAGATCTGATTCAGAACTTGTCACAGATATACATGTATCTAATCAAGTAGAAGGTTGTAATCTTCACGTCTTTATAAGAAACATTGGTATTGTTGGTAGATTATGAAATTAAATGGATCGAGTTGTTGTAAAGTTTTATTGTTAAATTCTGTGTGGTTTTACAGTGTTGATATGTCCGAACCAGAAGTATACTTTTTCCTTTCAAATTCAAACAATACAATGTCTGAGCAAAAATGCTGAAAAGAGAATTTCTTTGTGCTGATTTTCTAATAGATTTTTATGAAATACAGATTTGATGTAGGGGACTAAATTTTAATGAGGTATATAATTCAAGATGTTGAAATAATGTACTTCTTTTTTTTGTCAAGATTTTTTAGTCTTGTATAAGGTGCTTTAATAAAAGATTATGAGCATGTCCTCAATGTTGTTTCATTTTTCGAAGTATTAAAATTATATATATGTATATGCTTTACAAGATGCATAAATCATCATGTATTTCAGCATTATGGAGTTTTTTTTTTTTTAATAAGTTTATTTTGTTTAAATTGCATTTTATGTCAAACTTAAATAAAGCTACATGTACATATTCCACTTTTCTGAAGCATTGAAGAATAAGCATTCTATGCAGCTTTTTTCCTGCAGAATACCGGTTTACGTACAGATATTGCTTCATGTGTATTTACATTGATACATGAACATGCTTTTGAGTATTGTGTGAAAAAATAAAACTTTAGAAAAAAGTTTGCTTTCAGTTTATTTTTTATGCTAATTTTAGAATAGAATTCAAGGTTGAAGTCATCTTTATGTTGAAAACCTGGGCAGTGTGAAAAAAGGTTAATCAGCTGAGTGGACTGTAATGTCATTAGGAGAGGAAACTGTGTGGTTGTTACATGTATACCTTTCATTTGCAATTGACCAAGTACATGTAGCTCAGTTAATGCAGCACCTGTTTAGAAGTCAGTGAACTATGGTTAGAGTCGGTCTGGATTGTTGCACATCTCTCCCTGTTATTATACTGAATTGTATTGAACTTCAGAAATCTGAATAAGAGAAAGTTTTTACAATATAAATGTTACCCATTTTATTTTTCACTCATATAGACATGTCAGTGTATGCCGGTGAAAGGCTTCAAATTTAGACCTATACTCAGCACACAGGAGCAGTGAGGGTTCTTTATTGTGCCAACGCCTACCTTGACACGGGATCTTGTTTTTAGCTCTTCTGAGCCAAAGGCTCAAAGAACTAATGCTATGGCCATTTGTGTGGTGTGTGTAAACTTTTTAGAATATGGGCCATAACTCAAGAACCCCTTGGCCAATTATTGTCAAATTTGTCACAGGGTATCCTTGGCCCAAGGGCTCCCTTTTATACTAAAACTAGGGTTGTGACCCTTTAACAAGGGGAGATAATTAGGAAAATTACTACTTTTTGAACTTTCCAGGCATTCTATTTCAAAACGTTTTAGAGGCATAATTTGGACATTTTGAGGTCTATGATCATGAAACTTTGTAAGTTGATGCATCTTGGGTCCTCACAAAACGTCAACTGAAAAGTAGGTCACTGTGACCTACTTTTCAATTTATATGACTATAATTAAATATTTCAGTAACTAATTGGCTTAGAATCATCAAAATTTGTCAGTTGATGCATCTTGGGTCTTCGAGGTAGGTCAACTGAAAAGTAGGTCACCATGAACTACTTTTGAAAATTTATGGTTTTAATTAAATATTTCGGGTACTAATTGACTTAGAATCATTAAACTTTGTCAGTTGATGCATCTTGGGTCTTCAGAGTAGGTCAACTGAAAAATAGGTCACAGTGACCTACTTTTGAAAATTTATGGCTTTAATTAAGTATTTTCAGGTACTAATTGGCTTAGAATCATCAATTTTTGTCAGTTGATGCATCTAGGGTCCTCAAAGTAGGTTGACTGAAAAGTAGGTCACTGTGACCTTCTTTTCAATTTATATGACTATAATTCAATATTTTGGGTACTAATTGGCTTAGAATCATCAAACTTTGTCAGTTGATGCATCTTGGGTCTACGAAGTAGGTCGACTGAAAAGAAGGTCACTGTGACCTACTTTTTAAAATTTATGGCTTTAATTAAATATTTAGGGTACTAATTGGCTTAGAATCATCAAACTTTGTCAGTTGATGCATTTTGGGTCCTCGGAGTTCAACAACTGAAAAGTAGGTCACCGTGACCTACTTTTGAAAATTTATGGCTTTAATTAAATATTTCGGGTACTAATTGGCTTAGAATCATCAAACTTCGTTAGTCTATGAATCTTGGGTGCGTGGAGTACAACAACTGAAAAGTAGGTCACTTTGACCTACTTATAAAATTTTATGGTTATAATTTTAAAAAATATTTTAGGTATTAATTGGCTTAGAATCATCAAACTTAGTTGATGGGTCCTCAGAGAATGACAAGTGATAAGTAGGTCACCATGACCAACTCTCAGGTACTAATTGGCTTAGAATCATCTTGGGTTCTCAGAGTGTTTTATCTAAAATGTAGGTCATGATTACCTACCTTTGGAATTTCTAGGGTTTATCTAAATATACAGGATACTTAGAGGCTTCAAATAGAAGTGATAGGTTGTACAGTTTATCAGAAGAGCAATTCAAGGCCCTTGGGCCTCTTGTTTAAGGTCCCATCTGAAAGACCCCTGACTTTGCGAAGGAACAGTCACTACCTATGTTTACGTCTTAGGTTTGACAGGGCACGGCAAACGAGAATCGAACCAGGGGCTAGTGATCACTAAGCGCCCTACCACTAGACTACTGTGACTGGTTCCTCAGACTTGTAGGGGCTGAGAAAAAACTAGAGATATTAGAGTACTATCTGAGTACTCAACTTCCAACATTTCTTCTTAGAGAGATACAAACCAGATATAAATTATACACTTTTTCTGCCAGTGACCTTGAACTTGCTGGAATGACCTTTTTAGAAGATCAAGACACACCATCAGGTCATAAGCAATCTTTGTGCTAGGTATTCAGAGCTTCCAATGATTCTCCATTACTTCAGCCCAATTAAATTTGTGACAGACAAAGATTTGAATGTCCTTACATTGTACATGCAAGAAGTTTTGATGTGATGATTTTTTGCAAGTAATGCCCCTTTTTGAATTATACTGTGTATTTAAAGTGCACAGTGTCATTCATTATGTGTTGCATTGTCAAGTTTTGGGGAGCATGGGGTATGTGAGCTTGCTCATCGTTTCTTTCATTGATTCTAGGCCTCATGTATGTAGTCATCATGTGCAAGTTACACATTTAACCAGATCCAGACACAATTCTACATGATAATTTCAAATGAGTGACCTACATTTGAGTTAAAACAAACTTTACTACAAAAATATATATCAAACAAGGTTTGATGATGCCTGGCCTTATATTGTGCATGATACATAATTGAAAGAATTTGACTACGCATAGCCATATAATTGGAAAATAAAGCCATCATTACTTAAATAAAACACCTGATTAGCAGACCACCATAGGTGTCACATAGATACAATCCAAACATGAATACAAGAAGGAGTGAACAAAGGGTACCCTTATTTTAATTATTCACATAGAGTCTTGAAGCTCCAAAAGTAGGTCACAATGACCTACTTTTTGGTTGACACGTTACAGGGATCCAAGAAAGTTAACTAAGAAAGTTTGAAGATTCTAAACTTCTTCGTACCCTTAATATTGAAATACAACCATGAAATTCCAAAAGTAGGAAACTGTGACCTACTTTGTAGTTGACACAGTCTATTAACCTAAGTTGCATCAATTGACAAAAATTTGATAATTTTAATCCTGTTACTATTCTAAATATTGAAAGAAAAGTTTGTAAAATAGGTCAGTGACCTACTTTATGGTTGAAATACACAGAGAACCCAAGATGCATCAACTTAAAAAGTTTGATAATTTTTAACCAACCAGTATCTGAAATATTTAAATATAGCAATGAAATTCCAAAAGTACATCACTTTGACCTACTTTTTGGTTCACACAGAGGACCCACTATGCATCAACTGCCAAAGCTTGATGATTCTAGGCCATTAGCATCTGAAAATGCTTAAATACACATTGTAGTCATGAAATTTCAAAAAGTAGATCACTGTGATCTACTTTTTCATAGATATGCTCCAAGGCCTAAGGATGCACCAGCTGGCAATGTTTGATGAACTTAGGTTTCAAAGTGTCAAAAATATGCGTCTTAACCATTTTGAAAGCAAATACCTGCAAAATTGAAAAAGTAGGTCACTGTGACCTACTTTTTCACGAGTATGTTTCAAGGCCCCAAAATACATCAGCTTACAGTGTTTGATAATTCTAACACTTAGGTAATTGAAATGATTAACATAAATGGTTAAAAAATGATTAGACATAAAATTTAGAAAGTAGGTCACAGTAACCTATTGTTTAGTTGACATGCTTCAAAGCCCCATGATGCTTAAACTGACTAGTTTTTATGATCATAGGCTTCAAAGTGTCTAAGATATGCATCAAAATCAAATTGAAAATGAATAGCTGCACAAATAGTCACCATGACCTACTTTTGAATAGTCATCATGACCTACTTTTGAGTCAATATGACATGAGGTCCCAAGATGCATCAACTAACAATGTTTCATAATCTGAGTCCTTAAAGGGGGCAAAACATCAAAGTTTTAGCAAAATATATTATTTTAGATCATCTTTGAAATGTCCTTGAGACAATCCCTTTGCCCCAGGGTGATGCCTTGAAAAAAATTTAATCTACAACATATTCTCATCCTATGCATAAGTTTGGGGATAACCTACCCAGTGTTTTTCGAGAAGACTTTTTCGCAGCCACTTATTTCTTTTTATTTCCCTAATTATTTTCCCTTGTTTAAGGGTCAAATCCCTAATTTTAGTATAAATGAAAGCCCTTGGGCCAAGGATACTCTTTGCCAAATTTGACAAAAGTAGGCCAAGGGATTCTTGAGATATGCTGCATTTTCCAAAAAAGTTGATGCACACTGTACACAGCACAAATGGCCAAAGCATTAGCTCTTTGACCCTTAGCTAAGAAGAGCTAAAAATTCTCTCTGATTTTTGCTTTTGTTCAATCGTGATCCTTCAACGAAAGTGACTGCTGTACATGTATGTGTGTATAAAGTTAAGAGGCAACAGCTGAAACTGTTTTGTTTGATATGATCTTTTACAGATTTTACAGGCACACAAATGTACAGATGAAGGACAATGAACAAAGACATATAACTGCTGAGAAGCTATATGTCATTGATATATTCTGTACAAATTTTTCTATCATTCATTCAAAATGGTTTAAATTAAACAATCCTGACACAGAACATCTCTGTTACCTTCTTACAGATATAAATATTAGAAATATCTCAGAAATACTGAGTGAACATAACAACTCATAAAGAGTTTTCTCCCTCTTTATTGTTACATGGTAAAAATGAGTCACTGCTAAGATCTAAAAAAAAATATTATATATCAACATATATGTAAAATAAATGTATTAATCACTAACCATACACTGACAGAAAAAACAGTACACAAATGTAGTTACATGATGTCCAACAGACTCTATTCCAAAGTTTCTAGGCTAGCTAGCTTTCCTGAAATTATCTATACTATGTCAAGTTTTCAAAGAAAATCAATACTCTTGAAATTGTTTTTTAAAATCTTAATAATTTGGTAAACAACTGCTTTACAACATTATTTGAATGCCTGCTTCCTTCAGTAAATGAAGGGTGGTATTCAAGATTTTGCAAGTTCAATTTTTGCAGTATTATATAACAGGTAAGCTGCTTCATCACAAATCACAAGAAATATATATAATTATATATGTTTACTTGGATATGTAATTGCATGTATTCTCAAATACAGACATATCAATATTATGCAAAACCATATATTTCTCTAGTACATGTATTTCAAATAAAATTTTCATCTTATAATAATTATACATGTATCATTAAATGTTCAATGAAAATCCTTCAATGTAAATATTCACTGCATAAGTTGTCATTACTCATTAATAAACAGGAGCTTCTTAGTGAATCAAACAGATACATTAATTTTTGTCATTCCACTGAATTTTCCACCAGGTTTCATAAGCTGTAAATACATTGTTAAATAATAAAATCCTTCCTTCATTTCTTTATATGGTGATTATGGTGCAATCAAAAGTCAGGATTTTTTTTTTTCTCAACTTGTGATTGGAGTTTATTGATATAGTTCGACCAATCAGCCATTTTGTAAATGAGGATATCTCTGTTCAGGATATATCTTGACTCTTTAGTCTCAGGAATGAAAACACACAGGTATACAATGCTCTGTAAGATATACCACTCTATAAACAGATATGGTGTCATCCAACTTTGAGCTGATTTACACATAATGTGTTCAGGAATCTATATTGCAAATAAACATATGCTCCTTAAGTAACAAATAAACACTCGAAACCTGCTTGTTAATTACCAGCATTCTTTTTAAAACTTAATTTTTTTGAACGCTTTTTATTTTTGTCGATGTTACAAGCTGTGGTTACTAAGTACAAGTAGTAAGATTTGAGATCACGTAACGTAAACAATCCTGACTTTTGGTAACAACATAGGCCAAAGGTTTGTGAGGAGAGTAGCAGATGAAAAAACCTATGGTTAGCAAAGATGATATAACACAAGTTTTCAAAAACAAAATGTGTAAATTTAAAATCATCTACAAACTCTCCAAAGTCCAGGATTAACAAAACAATGATCAAACTGTTGTGCAATAACAAAGTGCAGTAAAAAGCCCAAATGATCCATTATTAATCTGATGGAACACTAAATAACAGAAATAAAAGCTGTTTCTTTCATCTCAAAAAATTCATTTGGTAAAAAAAGCACCTCAAAATTAAACAATATATCGACATTTCATACTTGAGCAATTGAACACATCGGACGGATACCAGTTAACAAACTCACAATTGGATACCAGTTTTAAAACAACCTCACTATCTGACAGAAAATATATGCTGATTGCAGCATGTATAATAATATAAAACATTTCACCTGCACACCTGTAATAATTTCTTACAGCCAATATAGTACATGTAAATTAAGATCAGAATTTTATGATAAAGCACCACGCATACACTATAACATTTGTGGATTTATATGAGAGTTCTTCATCATGCATGGTAACATCTTTCATCATTTTTATTTGAAAGATTATAAAACTGTGAAATACCGAAGACTAACAAATTGAAAAAAAAAAAGCCTGTAACCATATTCACAATATATCAGGTACATTGGACAAGGCACTAACATGACTGTATATTAAATAGGAGAGTGTGAGGGTTACAATTAGGGTTTGACTGACATAATACTGTACTATCTTTTTATTTCATAGTAAGTTAGTAAAACCTTTGGAATGTTAACACAAACATAATGATAAAATACTATAAAAATACAGAAAGTTTCAATAAATATAATATGTGTAAAATTATAGGATGAAAATAGATTATAATAACTGTTATTTCCAAAAACTTCTTATTTATGATTAATTAAGGCACGCTCTATATGAAAGAAATCTTTTTTTGTTAACAAAATTATTCAACAATGCATCCTTTTCACTATCTCTTGGAAACTGAAATAGTTACAAATTTTCAATTATATAAATTTAATTTTTCTTAAATTAAATCAAGAGTACTTTATTACAAGTTTTCATCAAGCTCTACTCAAACAATAGACTTATATCAAAGGAGGTAAGTTTATATAAAGACACTGATTGGGAAGCTAATAACCACTGAAGGTCTCTATACTCCTCACTTTATACTGACTCATGAGTAAAACGGCACTTACTCCTTCCTGTGTTTACCAAAACATGTACATGTATGTATTGCTTATATCTGACTTCACAACTTTAATCTGTTTAAAATAATTTTTGAAGGCAGATATATGACTTCTGTCCAACTTCAAAAGTATTATGTGTTAAAAATAATTTTTAAATGGAGATACAATGGTTTTACTGTTAACAGCTTGATGTTTTTCCTTTTGTAATCTGCTGGTTTCTGGTATCTGTCAAAAAAGAAATCCCAATGATATCATGCAATTACAGATAAACAATAGAATGCCAGACTTTAATATTTAAAAACTGTGGATTTAAACATATCAAGTTATAATGCTTCTAACAGAAAAAATAATATTTAGAAAAAGCAGTATAAACTTAATTTATACATTTCTGAGTGTTGTGTTGTACATTTATTACTTACAATTCTAATTCTCTGATGAGACTGTAGCTCTACTTACAATTCTAATGCTACTGGTCCCTCTTTGACTTCATCCTTCTCCATAAAGGCCCAACACTTTGTGCTGATCATGTTTTTCTTTGGTTTAAAATGCTTGAACTCAAAAAATATTGAAAACCCTAAAAAAAAAAAAAAAATAACACGACAAATATGATTAAAAACATTTCAAAAGTATCAAAATTATTTTTAAAATGTTTGCTCTTCGTTTAAGGAAAAAACAAACAAACAAATTACATGTACCAGTGTACTGCAACATTGCAACATGTATTTATTTCAGCTTATTCAACATCTAGTGCAAATGTACTAAGGTCATAGAGTGAAGATAATAGTTTATATTAAAATTACATTCAATGACAATAAATGTCATGTAAACTGTAATTGGAGATATTGAAAGGTCACATCAAAGGTTATATTCCGATGTTGCTTTACTCACATTGGTCATTATTTGAATGAGCTACAAAATAATCTCTTCTCATTCAAACACGTCCAGATTTGGAAAGGATTGAACATTTGGCTGTGGTTTGTGATGATGTTTGGGATATTGTATGCACACATATTATGCACGCTATACAAGTATTCATACATAAGAGGTCCATGGACCACAATGTTCACCTTCAACAACTTGGCTCTCCTGTTATTCATCATGAGATAAAAGATTTGTTCTCTCTTAAGATAAATTTTGAACTCATATCATGACACAAACCTAGCCCAAGGGGTTACCATTATATTTTAATTGAAATCCCCTATAAAACTTAAATCTCCTACTGTGGCCCATTGTGTCTGAATCCTACAGATTTGAGCAAATTTGGATCTACACTACCTGAGGGTGCTTGCATATAAATATGACTGACTAATCATGGCTTTGCTGTTCTTGAGAAGATTTTTAAAGGTTTTTTCCTGTTTATTAAAATGTAAAACTTTGATCTGTTGTGGCTCACCCTACCCCTGGGAGACCATGATATGAACAAACTTGAATCTGCACTACCTAAGGATGCTTGCATATTAATATGTCTAATGAAGGCTTGCTGTTCTTCTGAAGAAGGTTGTTAAAATCCTCCCCTCCCCCATATAATCCATATGATATGAAAATTTAATCTCCTATTGTGACTTCACCCTACCTTCTGGGGCCATTACTTGGACTAACTTGAATTTTCACTTCACTATGTAAGAAAGCTTTCACATATGCTTTTTCTTTCATTCAAGTAATGTCGCCCGCGTGGCACAGTGGTAAGAGTGTTCACTCGAGAGTCGCGGAGTAAGGAGTTGATCCTAACATCATGGGACATTGAATCCAAGTGTGGGACATGGAGACCAGTCCTTTGGATGAGACTGTATAAACCGAGGTCCCGTGTCGAAATAGGTGCTGGCACTAAAAAGATCCCACACTGCTCAATGGCCCTGAGTGCTGAGTATAGGTTAAAATTTGCAGCTCTCCACCGGCAAGTGGTGGTGTCTCCAAATGAGTATAAAATTCTCGAGAGGGACGTTAAACAATAAAGAAACAAACCATCATCCAAGTAATTGTAAGACATCAACATTACTTTCGCCTTTTCTTGATTATTTTCTCATGGGAAAGGGCATGGCCTGTCGAATTAATTTGAATCCCCTTGACCCAAAGATACTCTGTGCCAAGTTTGGTTGAATTCACCCAATGGTTCTGGAGAAGTTGAAAATGTGAAAAGTTTATAACAATGGCAACAAAGACAGACAATTAATGGACAAAATTTGATCAGAAAAGCTCTCTTAAGCCTTTGGCTCAGGTGAGCTAAAATCATATTTTGGTGGTGTTCATAAATTAGTACACTTATGATTGTGCCAAAACTTAAAATAAAACTAAAATGAAAACAGACTCATTAAATAGCACCTCCTTTTCTGAATTTTGGAACCATTTGCTAACTAGAAAACTGACCAGTCAGCAAGGGCCCCGCTGAGGGGTAGAAATATAAGAGTGCAGCTTACAGAATAAGAATTTTAATTGATAACAAAAATTTAAAAATATATGAAGAAGAATATGCAATAACAACTGTATTTATAAAATTAAAATTTCAAGATAATTCCTCAATATCCAACAACCTGTAAAGAGTATCCCTGTATTTACACAAGGCAGTAAAAAACATCATATCTATAATAACTCAATTAAATGTATATTCAAACAAGAATAAAGCATGTGTTTTCAAATATCACCCAGGCTTGACCTTAACTTCAAAACAAAGGTTAATTTATCTTAAAGTGACAAATAAAGATAAGCCTGGAAAATTTTCTGCCCAAGACAAGATAATTAATCCCAAGGGATTAATTGTACTGCTCTCTTATCCTTTTCTTCCAAGTTTACAATAAGAACTCTTTCAGTAATGATAGTAATGATAGAATGAGTTTATTATTGGACTACCCATTAAAATTAATAGTATTCTTGAATTTACAAGGGCAGCCAAAAAAAAAGAGAATAAATTAATAAAATAAATAAATAAATAAAAACCAAAAAATAAAAAAAAAACCATATCTTTATGTATATCTTGTTTTTAGAATTCAATAAAATCATAACTCATTGTATATTTTACCAATATAAAGTATGAACATTATTTAAATCCACATTTCAGGGAATGTAAACATCATTCAGAATTGACCTTAACTTCAAAATAAACTTCATTTGCAGACAGAGGTGTTAATTAATCTCAATTTGACAGAAACAGATAATGATTTGGATTTTCTTCAAGAGGAAAGTTAATTAATCCCATGGGACTAGTTGCAGCTTTCATAGTTTACAATTGGAACATTCTCAGCAGTTATCTCTCTTTGCCCTGGCATTCATTCTAATGTAAAGTTAAGGAATCTACCCCACCACCCCAGCTCCAAACTGGATGACATAGAGAACCAAACTAAGCATCAAAATATGACTTACTGCCTCTTCAACCAACATACCAAATTTGAACTTAATTGGTCAACTACAAAAAAAGTTATTAGAAAAAAAACAGAAAATTTGTGGACGGAAGAATGACAGACGGACAGACAGACAGACAGACAGAGTGATTACTATAGGGCACCCGCAAATACTTGCAGGGCCCTAATTAAAAAAAAAATAATACAAAGAAATAGAGAAAAAAGGGAAATGCACAGAATACCATAGAAACCTCAACCTCCAAGACTAGAGCTAAACTTACTCCAAATCATTCATACTTGAAAATGCACCTAAACTTTGTATGTTATACTATAACTAAATATTATTAGTTATCCAGGTCCAATCAAGGGTATACGGTCATTTACCCCGGGTTTTATTCCATACACCCTGAGGCCGAAGGGTGTATGGAATACAACTTGGGGTAAATCCCTGTACACCCTTGATTGGACCTGGATAACGAATTTATTTCCTATGTACCCAAATAAATTCTTTGTAAACAAGTAACAATCAACTGTATTTTACTACATCCTACAATGCATTGTGACGTCATGTTATCTGCTTTTTATCATAGAGAAACTATGCATTGTGACGTCATGTTTTTTACCCCCTGCTCAAGTCGGGTGTACGGAAATTTACACCAGACTTTGTAACCTGTCCAATCAAAGCTCGTGTTACAAGCTACATAGGAACTAATTAATAATATACCTGTACTAATTCCTTTTTTCATACATCTGGAAAATAGACAATGTAACCAGACTTGAGATGCATGCATTCCTAATTTTTTTCATCTTTGAGCCTATAGTTATCTGGAAATTGACCTGATCTAAAATCTTTAATCTGATCACTCATCTAGAAAATATGATAAATATAACATACATGTACAAGGCATGAAAATAATCTCTAAATGGAACACATAGGACATCTTCATGCATGCTCCAAGTATGGTTTATAGTAAACATGGTTACTGAGCTTGCTCCAAAACCTTGGATGCCTATCTGGCCTGAATTATAATATTAACTCATCTTAACTTCTAACACACCTAACTTCAAAATGATATGTTTCTAAAGTAGATTTTTCATGCACATATCAATAGTGCTGTGATGAGCAGTGACTGGGAAGGCCATGAAGCTTAATGGGACTATGGCACAACTGTTAAAAATTTTACTAGCCCTAAAAATTGAATGTGCACCTTGGTGCCACCAATGGTTGATTTAATGCGTCATTTTACTCTTCAATGCAACTATGGCACAAGCCCTTCCACAAAAATGCACCTGCGGACTCCCCAAATTTTGGCTGGTTTTTCCAAGATTTGGGCCTCAGTTGCACCCATACAACCCACCCCCAGGCCCGAGCGAGCAGGATAAAACACCCAGTAGTCTGTAAATCAATGCATGCCCTAATAAAAATTCACCAATTGATATGGAGCCATTCACCTTTCCTCTGAGATACACACCTTCTTCTAAGGCCTACTGCTTTTTAGCTGAATTTCCTCTGCAACTGACCACATGTCTTAGTTTCGCATTTACAACTCTGTACATGATAAGTGTCATAGTGACTAGTCTGGTACCCTTCCCACAATTCCGTTTGCGCACTCTCTACTCAATGTAGAGAGTGCAAACGGAATTGTGGGAAGGGTACCAGACTTCATAGTGACACCTACATGTTGCAAATCATTTTTTTCAGCAAGCACTCTGCTACACTGCAAATGTGTCCCATAATTATTCTAATTATTTTTTCTACATAAAATATCACATCAAACAGGGGATATCTCAGTTTTTTAAGAAATTTGACAGGGTCTTCAGTACGAAACTATCCCCTGCCACCTATCTTTAATTTGTTTTAACCTATATGTATTGTGTGTTGCTATCGCCAGTCGTTTCAGTGACAATTATAGTCGATAAATATAGGGAGAAGTACCTGACAATAACAAAGCGCAAACCATTATTTGTTTTATTTATTTTAACTTAAGGAGGAGAAGGACCTTGAGCTGAAAAAATACTTGTCATTCAATTTTTTTCATATTTTGTATATTTCTAATTAAAAATGTCCCACATATCTTAAAGCAGTTATATCATTAGGTTTCTTACCTTATTTTGGAGATATTGATTGACAAATACTATGACCTATAGTATCTAAGTGGAGTTTTAATTCTCCATGTTTCCGGGCTCATTACTCTGTCCATAATGAGATTTTTTAAACATATATATAAAAAATATTGAATTT